ATTTCTTATCAAGATGATATAAACGGTTCGTGTCATTTCAGAAGCTTTTCATACAGTGTAACGAGCACAGCATTATGAACTCGCTGACGAGGAATACATTTCTTTTAAATCCTTGTTTGTCCATTTCATTAATGGCGGTTGGGGGGGGGCAGTAAAGGAATATGCGATGGGACGGGTATGAAGTATTCATGGGAGAGATGAGAAATAAAAATAAAATTATAGTCGCAGATTATGGAGGCATGACGAGACCACTATAAAGACTTAAGCATAGATGGGAGAATAGTATTAAAACAAATGTCAAAGAAATAGGACACGATGTGGATTGAATTCGACTTGCTTGAGAAATGAATATGTGGAGTCTTGTGCAGATCGAAATTGAACATTCGTGTTCCGTAAAAAGCGAGGATTTGCAAGGATAGCTGAGCTACTGTTAGCTTACTACGTAGGTTGTTATTTGTACCTCTAGTTTCGCAAATAGCGATGGTCGTTATGTTATCGTAACATCTGACTCTATCTGCTGCTCAAATGGCTGATTTACATTCTTAACATCTCGTCATGTAAAATACATATGGAACTTCTTTGTAAATCAAGTTGCGCAAGCGATTATTGTTTTAAATTAGTACTAGTTTAATGCCCGTTGATAATTCAAAGAGAATTCCCAACATTTGCTGTATAAGATTTCTCCCCTATTTCTCTACAGTCCCACATATTGTCGAATGATGGAGTAATCCTGAAGTTTACGCCATCTTTCACAAATAACATGTGCAAATAGGCAATCGGAAGCCATCTCCTTTATGTAATATATTACGCTTCATACGAGTATATTAACATCTAAATAGTTTCAGTACACACCGAATAGATCCGATACACACACAAAAAAAGACTGCTCGACCTTCGGGACCTGTTACATAGCATGTTCATGCAACGTGTTAAAGCTCGACGGTTTCTTACTACGTTAAACGAAATTGCGTAATGACAATGATAAATTTCACGCTTAAAATCTCTTTATGTATATAGAAGGAAATTTCTAAATTTATACTAAAAACTAATAAAACGCTCAAATATGTATCTCCCATTGCAAATGTGTATTAATTTATGAGAAGGAAAATCTTTCAAATACGAGCAGACACGTACACCATGTCATCTAGGAGAGGTATGGTCTGTTTTACTTTCTTAAGAATGACTTACATATAAGATTAATTCAGCTGTTTAACGATACTGGATACAATCGTAAACATGTGTGATCGCAAGTGCGACTTTAAAGTATTATTTACCGTACAATAAAGAATATACGGCTCCTTTAAAGCGGCCGGGGCGTGAAGCTGACCACTCACTTCCAGCTAGTGCCAAGGTGAAGAAAAACTGGATCTACACATCCACTTCCCCATATGCCTTCATGGCGTAGTGCTTAATTCGTTGAGCACGGGAACAACTTTACATTTTTACCTTTATGGCTCCTTTAAATGACGCGGGCTTTTCGACCCAATAAGCAATTATTTAGGATTCCGCTGTATTGGATTAGCTGTAATTTAATATAAGTTCTGTAAGTTATGAAGGAACTCTTCTTACAGCGTGTTCAATTAAACCCGAAATCAATTATTGTCCATAAATGCCCTTCTGACCGGGACTGGAGAAGAGAGGAGACAACACTGACGTCAGAAAGGCATAGCTTCTCTATTTAAATAGAATGCCGAGCCTCGATTTACAACTGTCAACTACAATATTCATGCAGACTTGCAGCATCGGAATCGTAGCAAAGTTCAACTTTCCTAACCTGGTCAAGCTTCCAGCAAGGCACGCTAGTAAAATATTCATCAGTGGTTCTGAGCAGGAACTGCTGACCTGTTTCGTACTTAATATGCAGAGCGAAGTCTGTGGCCATTTGATTTAGTGGCCGTTGCTGAAGTCAGAGGATTACAAAATAATGGCGCAGAGAAGCACATACTCTCTCTGATAGCCTGCTTCACTAATGAGAGTTCCGTAATTTGTGCCCTTCACCAAATATTCCTCAGAGGGGTCAAATAAAATAAAATATGGGCAAGATATGTTGTATGCAGAGTGGTGGGATAAATACATAAAATGTTTTGGTAGGAAAATATGAGAATAGGCGTCATTTGCAAGATCTAGACGTAGATGGGAAGATAATATTAAATAAGAAGTGGAGGTATCAGTTTGCACAGGTTCAGGTCCGATGGAGGGATCTTGTGAACACGGTATTAAAATTTCGGTTTCCGTAAATGGTGAATTTCTCTAGAAGCTGAGCGGTTGTCAGTTGGTGAAGAAGGACTCGTTCAAGAGGTTAATTATTAATAGCATAATGGTTAAATTTTGCAGGTGGAAAGAAAGGACTTGGAGAATTCTGATGTTAAAGTCAGTTGGTTAGAGACCACACGTAACATCAAGAGAAGGATTTTATTATAAAATGAAAATGGATCTTAAAGAAAAAGTCTTTGGTAATGCTGTTTTGGCTCAAGATCGGATTTACGGAACGTCAATATCGAGTGTGTATGACTCTTGCTTTGTATTCGAGATGTCTCGACTTCGAATCTCCTTCATGAGTTCGGCTATCCTGATATAGTTTTTTTCTTTTTGTTTTGCTCAGTAGTTCCCGCACAATGCTATAATAATACTTCAAATAGACAATGAGCTCCTCCTTCCACGTTATTTCGAATTTATATTTCCAGCCATAATTTTGACGATATATAAATTATGAAGTTAAAAATCATTGTTAAATAAATTAAGAACAAATCATACTCGAACACTGGCTTTTCTGTAAAGCTACCGAGGCGTGAATCTAACAACTCACTTCCATTTAGAAGAGTTCAAAATGCATAGAACTCTACCTCCACTCTCCCATAACTTTTCATAGCATAGTTCTTAACCTTTTGACGACGGAAATTAAAATGGCAAATGAATCCAGTGGCACGGATTTCAGTGCTAGTGTATTTAATTTTTGCGCAAACATTGTTAATATTTTCATATTCATTTTAGATTTGTGAGATCAAAGAATTACAAGTTTTTTTGAAAATGTTCATATTTACATATCTCCTGAAGTTTTCAAATTCATTACTTCTTCGAAAAGTACATTTTTTCAGCTTTACGAAATATTTCAGAATTTCAAGTTACCAAGATCTTCATACTTGTGCCGTATTCCAAGGCTTTTAAAATTATAAAATCCTAACAACACCGAATTCTTTATAGTTCTAGGATAGCCAATCCTATGAAGTTAGGTATGTTTTCATAAAATGTGCACCATTCTCGGATATTTTCATTTACTTAGTATCATTATTAATGACCTAATTGAAAGATAAACATAACATTCGGTATCTTATATTCCGAACCCGCATAAAATGTGTGAGGATATTTAGCGTATGTGGTTTCGGACATTTAAAAATTAAAACAATATATAATTATCAGTTTTGTCATGTAAAGTCAGAATCTTGCAATATATTAGGTTGTGTTATGTTATGTTATGCTTTAGAATTTTTTAATAGTTTATCCTTACATTGCGTGCGAAATCAGCATATTCTTTGTGTTTAAGACAGCCAGGTCGGATTGAATTAAGTTACGTTAAACTAGGCACAATTAACTCACCAGTCTAAATAGCATGAGCGTCTGCTTCTAACTGCGCACCAATCTGCTCATGCAACTCAACATCCACTTACATGCCTAGGCATTACTGGTTACATAGGGTTAAGTTATATTATGGGATGTCTGGTTGTGTCAGATCAAGTCAGTGAGATCTACTACTGGGAAGTTCTCATTTTGTTGAAAATGGCCATTGTTTCTCAAATTTTCGTCTTCATACTACCGTTCTATTTTCAAAACACCTGCGAAGCTATAATGTTCCATATTTCCTTAATTTTCGTTATTTTTCAGATGTGAGTACATATGCAAAATTTCGTTCTGTCGAACATTGGCAAAAGTTTTAATATTTTCAAAATTATTCAGAATACTCGTATTTGAATTTCGTAAAAAAACAATTTTTATTAAATCGTTCTAAAAACCTTGAAATATTTGTGGAAACTTCGAAAGTTACCATACATCATATTTTAGATTGTTTCTCCAGTCACTTTGATTATACATTTTACATTTTACCTCGCAAAATATCCCAAATTTTTCATATTTTATTAATACACCCTCTCGTAACAGCATTAGATTTTATGATGTGAAGAACTGGTACCTCCATACGCGGTCTTCGCTAAAAGCTGATTTTTTTGCAGGTAGAAATGAAATCTCACATTTTATAATTAAATACATTCTACGGGAACTTACAGTAGCACAGTTTTTCGTGAATCCATTGACAGATGAGCTGCAGCCAGTGATGTAATAAGAGGTCCATCAGCCCCCCAAATGTAAATGTGGCCAATGAGGCCCCCAATTCAAGGTGTGGGGTGCCCATGACAATTGCTTATGTGGTATTATTTATCGGCAACAGTATGGAATTTAATTTGAAAAATATCTAGGATATCCAGAGGAGGGAATCTATTATTTACTGTGCTGCCTTCCAGTTATTACAGTTCTCTGACTGTAGCCCTTCGCCAATAACAATCGTTACATTCTTGACTTCACCTGTTTTTAGCGGAAGAATTTACGTAAACTTACGGTTGAGAAGAGCGATCCTTGTGGCACAATTCTCCAGTCTACGCTGCAAAGTACAAAAATGCTTAGAACCATGTTTACTGTGTGACTGTACAAATATATGGTGATAATGAATAGTGGAACGTAATAATGCCACCTGTAAATTTCCGTACGAATTTCGGCTCATGACGCTAAATTAGCCAGAGCTGCGCTCGGTATTGGATGCTGTGATTAGTAAAGCGGCATGCAATTCATTAACACCGATCTACAACGAGCCATTGAACGTTCTGTTATCAGTTACGTCACTTCGAGTATATCTATCGATAGTCAAGAAGTTCAACTTGTATCGTCCAGGTGTCGTTCAAATCAAGCGATTACTGAATCGTTGTGAATGATATTAATCGAAGTGCACACTAGTTAAGACGTATCAGGCAGTGGAAAGTTTTTAGCGTTTTCAGTGATTTATGGTGCTATTAATAGTGGAAGAGCTGTGGTTGAATGAGAATGTATGTACCAGTGCATATATCCTGTAGTTGTGGGTGTTAATAACGGCAGTCAACAAAATGGTAAGTGGAAGATAATGTGAAAGGAAATTGAATCCGATTATGTGACATACATGTAATGACAACGTTATGGTGTACACATGTATGTTAGTACTGAGTCTGGATAGATTTATTAATTTCACACTGATTATTTTAAATGTAGTACGTGGTTTGAGTTATATTTAAGATACTTTATAATCTGGACAACATTCTTCAAATATAATATTTATTCTGCTAACTGAGTCAATGTGGTGGTGGAGGACAAAGGACAGTACAGTCAAGGGTGACTGCAAAAGTTTGAACTCAGCAAAACCATTACCCATACTTCATGAACTAACTTCATGGAGCTGAGCCCTTCTTTAGAAACTTCCAATTATGCAGCTACTCAATAACTTCCCAGCATATTATGGAACCCGAAGGTTCATTACCGTGTTCACTAGAGCCCTCCACTGGTTCCTGTCCTGAGCCAGATCGGTCCAATCCTTACCACTCCATTCTATATCTCTAAGATCCAGTTTAGCTCAAGCGGTTAGTCACTGGCTTCCCACCGCGGCGGCCAGGGTTCGATCCCGGGTTTGGTTGGGTGGGATTTGTGGTGGACAAAGTGGCGCTGGGGAGGGTTTTCTCCCAGTACTTCGGTTTTCCCTGCCAATCTTCATTCCACCAAATTCTCCATCATCATAAACACCCGGGGCAGGCTACAATAGGCCAATCAGTGGCCGCCGAGTGGACCCAGTTGGACTCCACCCCACCACTAAGCCTATTTTATTTAAGATCCATTTTAACATTGTCTACACACCTACGTCTTGGTCTTCCTAGTGAACTCTTTCTTTCTGGCTTTCCCACTAATATCCTATATGCATTCCTCTTCTCCCCATTCATGCTACATGCCCTGCCAATCTCACCCCACTTGGCTTGATCTTTCTAATTATATTTGGCGAGGAGTGCAATTTACAAAGCTCCTCATTACGCAGTTTTATCCAGTCTCTCGTCGCTTCATTTCTCTTCGGCCCAAATATTCTCCTCAACGCCCTGTTCTCAAACACCCTCAGTCTGTGTTCCTCCCTTAATGTCAGAGACCAAGTTTCACACCTATACAGTACCATAGGCAAAATTATAGTTCTGTTTATTCTATTTTTTGTGGTTTTGGACAGCAGAGGAGAAGACAAATGGTTCTGGACTGAATGGTAGCAAGCATTACCCGAGTTCAGTGCCCTCTTAATTTTCTCCTGAATCAGGTGTTGATTTGTTATCGTTGTTCCCAAGTATTTGAGCTGTGCCAAATTTTAAAAACATCTGTTTCCCATTGTTATGTCATGATTTTTCCCTGCAGTTTGGTGACAAGAGGAGCAACATACACTTAGTTTTCTCTGTGTTTACCTCTAGACCAACCTCCTTACTAACGTCAGTTAAAGTTTGTTGTTTTTCTTTATGGTGTTTATGTTATCTCCCAGTAGATTAACATCATCAACATAGACCAGTAGCTGGTATGTCTCATTTAATTTCAGTCCTACCTGATTTTCCTGGACCTTCCTAATGGCACATTTTAAAGCAAAGTTGAAAGCAGTGGTGATGAGCATCTCGTTTTAGACCATTCTGGATAGGAAACTTATCAGACAAATGTGTACCTGTACGGACTTTACTATACGTTTCGTATATGAGAATATTGCACAATACTTCCCTCCTAACTGAATCATAGGCTTCTTGAAATCTATGAAAACGTGATGCACTGTCTCATTGTACTCCTATTTTTTCTGCAGCATCAGACGGATGCAAAAGATATGCTCAGATCTGCTCTTTCGAAACCCACACTGATCCTCAATAATTTCATTTATATATTTACTTAAATTTGAGACAAGAATATTGGATATAATTTTGTATGAAATTAATAGCAGTGATATCCCACGATAATTACTACAGTCAGTTCTCTCACCCTTCTTGTGAACTGGTAGAATAATAGCTCCTTCCTTATTCCAAATAGAATTAATTAGCTTATGGATCTTATAACGTAATATTTTACCTCCTGCTTGAATCAGTTTTTCTGGAATTTGATCACTATATGGCGATTTATATCTTTTTAACTTTGCAATAGCAATTTCGACCTCAAAAGAACTATGATCAGGTACTAATGCATCAGCTGTACATATTTATCTCTGCCTAACATTACTGACCCTATGAACATTCAATAACTGAGAGAAGTAGTTCTTCAACCATTTCAAACTGTTTTGGGAATCTGCAAGCAGATCGCCATTCTCATCCTTCACTAAGTTACTGCTAGGCTGGTAACCCCTCTTAAAGTCATGTATTCCTCTATACAAGTCTCTAATATCATGTTCTTACTGTTCGTTGCAAGCTGATTAATTTTTGCTTTCAGATATTCCATCTTTTGTTCCTGAAATGTCTGCTGGCTTCACGTTCTATATTGTTAAGATTATCCCATTTATTTCGCTTGGATCCTGTAGCCCCTGAAAATTGACTTTTCTCCTTTGATCTAATAATTCTGATCATCCTTTGTCAAACCATGGATTATGGTTTTTCAATTTCTGATAACTTAGACCCTCTATGGCTGAAATTTTGATATTCTCTCCAGTAATTTCCCAAATTCTATTAATATGACCTCATCATCTATGTTTTTCAAAGCTGCGAACCTATTTGATATTTCAACACGATACTGCTCTTTACCTTCTAACTTGTTTGATTTCTTGAGATTGAACTTCTCCATGTGAACTGTGTGCGTTGTTTGTTGACTCACTGCCAGTCTCTCCCTAACTTTTGCCACCACCAAGTAGTGGTCAGTATGACAGTCTGCTTCCCAGAACGACTGGGCATCAGGTGTACTTGAATACCGTCTCCTATCTACCAAAATATGGTCAATTTGGTTGTGAGTCTTTCCATCCGGAGATACCAAAGTAAATTTATGAATATTATGGTGTGGGAACGTTGTGCTTTTGACAATACAATTTTTTGATATGGCAAAGTTTACTACTCTAGCTCCATTATCATTACTAATTTCGTGTAAACTCTCATTCCCAATCGTTGGTTTGAAAATGACCTCCCTACATATTTTGGCATTTAAATTTTCTAACAAACTTTATGTTTCCGACTCCTAACTAGTATCAAGTGGCCTGAGACCGGTTGGGTCAGAGCTCTTTTCCTCAGTAACGAACAGTACATAACGAGAAGTCTGATAGCATGTGCTTTCGCCCAGTATTTAACTTAGATTATTTCAAGATATCCGTCTTATATATTTCACGGCAAAATTTTGCGCTGCAGTTCTATGTTTATTTGTAGATAAAGAAAAACATTATAATGAGTAATAACGTGTAAAGGTATTTTTGTGTCATTTAATTACGCTACAGCCCCCACTAAGGTTAGCTGAAGGCCGCGCCATAGCTCAAGCCGTTAGTCGCTGGTTTCCCACCGCGGCGGCCCGGGTTCGATCCCGGGGTCTGGTCGAGTGGGATTTGTGGTAGACAAAGTGGCTCTGGGGCGGGTTTTCTCCAAGTACTTCTGCTTCCCCTGCCAATCTTCATTCCACCAAATTCTTCATCATAATCACCCGGGGCAGGCTACAGTAGGACAATCACTGGCAGCCGTGCCGAGTGGACCCAATTGGACTCCATCCCCCACTAAGCGAATTAAAAAAATTGGTTAGCTGAAGCTGAAATATAAAATGAGAAAATGGATAAAGAGTAGAACTAGTAATGGTGCAGTAGTGGTGGTATCAGTAGTGATAGTAATAGTAACTGTACTGATGTAAGCAATGCAACTAGTTTGTACATATTGTCTGTTTTTATGTACTGTAGTATTAAACCTGTGTACCACAAAAACCTGGTGTTATGTGGGCACAGTTGTATGTTTGTATGAACTAAACTGAACTAATGATGCTGTCAGTAACCAAATCATATGATTTCGGGTGATTTAAAAGAAAGTTTTCGGGGCCTAATTGGGGTTACCTTTCCAGCATTCCCCTCAAGGGATAGAGAAAGTTTACGAAGAACCTCAGGATAGCCTTTGCCTCGTCCGAGATTTGACTTGAGAACCTTTCAAATACGAGTCTAGAATCTTACTGTTACGCCACCCTTTTTATTGCGGAGGTATTGTATGGATTTATCTTACCCAGATAGAGTCGATTGGCATACTTTTGTGGACATGGTAGAGCATTTTCGGGTTAGAAGTATGAAGTGTTTTGTTTGCGTAAGTAACTCCTCTGCAAGATCTGGCACTATGTAAAATAGAGGGTGGCTCCCGCCTTTATCTCTAATTTTTTCTTATTTACAGTAAAATAAACTAAGTGTCCTCGTAAGCGGCCTCCGTAGTCTAGAGGTAACGTTCCCACCTCATGACTCGTGGTACGCGGGTTCAAATACCCGGCGGAGGTCGTCGAATTTTTAAGGGCGGAAAAATTCAGGGAACAAGTCCTCCGGGAGGGACTTTAAGCTGTGTGTCCCGTGTCGTAACTTTACGGCACGTAAAAGAACCTCATATCCGCAAAGGGGATCACTGAGCCAAATTCCAGGACGTTTCCCGCCCAACAGTAGTCTCTAAGGCCTCTGATAGATGGGGGAAGCATTATAGATACCGCTAAGCAAGTGGCCGAACTCGCTTGCTCGGCGGGACTGATGGTACGCACCATTTATCGGTAGTGTATAGAGACTGGTAGAATATCATAGAGGGAAGTACAATAGATCAAAACTGGTCGCGGTGCATGGGGAAACCCACCCTCTCTAAATAACTAATAAAAAGTGGTCCTCATATGTTTAAATGCAGTATTAAAACGAGATAAAAAACAAGGGAAATTCCATTTTCAGTAGATATTTACGAACTTTAATTTCTATAATCATACATTGCTTAATCAGGAACATACATTAACAAAACAGTACGACATTAGTCGCATTATTCCAAGATGCGTCCCAATCAGCAAAGAGCTAACATCATAGACTGCTAGAGCACTGTGCTGCAAACCTGTGTGTAAATTAGAAGGGGTTAATTTGAGTATTCATAATAAATGGAATTGTAAATGT